TCCATGAAATTAAAATTAGGCATTAAAATTTCAATTATCCTTGTGCAATCTCAAACCCTAATTTCAGTCATCCGTGCTTAAGGAGGTGTCTTGAGCTGATCAACCCTTGTGCAGTCTTGAACCAAGAGAGATCTTGTGAGAAAATACTTTATAAATTAGAGGGAAAGTTTTGGGGTACAACAACATGCATAAAATCTTGTTGGAAGAAAATTCCAAGAACAAAATTGAAATTCAAATAAGGTTGAATCCAATTATGAATGAAGTGGTTAAAAAAGAGATCATCAAATGGTTGGATGCTGGTATTATCTGCCATATCTCTGATAGGGAATGGGTAAGTCCAATTCAATGTGTTTCAAAGAAAGTTGGCATGACAATAGTCACCAACGAGAAAGATGAATTAATTCCTACAAGAATTGTCACAGGCTGGAGACTCTGTATGGGTTATAAAAAGTGAAAAAATGCCACAAGAAAAGACCATTTCCCTACCATTTATTGATCATATATTGGAAAGGTTGGCTGGTAAGGAATAATATTTTTTCTTGATGGGTATTCTGGTTATAATCAAATATCCATTGCACTTGAAGATCAAGAGAAGACCACATTTACATATCCTTATGGTACTTCTTCTTTCAGAAGAATGCCTTTTGGATTCTGTAATTCTCCAACCACATTTCAACGTTGCATGATGGCAACATTTTCATATATCATTGATAATTCCATTGAAGTTTTCATGGATGACTTCTATGTTTTTGGAGAATCATTCAAGAAATGCCTGGACAACTTAGATCTGGTTCTTTCCAGATGTGAAGAAAATTATCTTGTGCTGAATTGGGAGAAGTTCCATTTCATGGTGAAAGAAGGAGTTATTTTTTTGGCATATAATTTAAAATAAAGGCTTAGAAGTGGATCAAGAAAAGGTGTAAGTCATATAGAATTTTCCACCTCTAATAAAAATAAAAGGAATTAGAAGTTTTATGGGCCATGCATGATTTTACAGAAGATTCATAAAATATTTTTCCAAGATAACTAATCCAATGTGCCAACTGTTGCAGCATGATGTGTCTTATGTCTTCATTCAGGATTTGTATATATGCCTTCAAGTTGTTTAAGAAAGCCTTAATCTTTGCACTAATAATGAAGACTCCTGACTGGAAAAGCCCTTGAATTGATGTATGGTGCTAGTGATTTTTCCATTGGAGTTGTGCTTGGTCAAAGACACAACAAGGTGTTCCAAACCATTTACTATGCTAGTAGGACATTGATTGAAGCACAAATAAATTACACTACAACTAAAAAGGAATTGTTGGCTATTGTTTTTGCTTTAACAAGTTCAGATCCTACCTAGTAGGAACAAAAGTGATTGTGTACATTGATCATGCTGCCATAAAATATCTTATTGCTAGAAATATTCCAAGCCTAGGTTGATAAGTTAGGTTATGTTACTTTAAGAATTTGACATGGAGATTATAGAAAAGAAATGAGTAGAGAATTTGGTTGCTTACCATCTCTCAAGATTGCCAAAGGAAGTTCAGAATAATAACAGTGAGTTAATTCATGATAGTTTTCTTGATGTGTAATTGTTGGTGATTACCTCTGGTGTGACACCTTGGTATGATGACATTGTGAACTACCTAGTCATCAAATATATCCCACAATATTTCAACTCTCAACAAAGCAAGAGGTTATTCTATATTAACAAAAGTTACTTTTGGGATGAACCTTTTCTATAGAAGCAATGTTATGACCAATTGCTCAGAAGATGTGTGGACCAACAAGAGGCGTGACAGATCTTGTCTGTCTGTCATGAGGCTCCCTATGGAGGACATTTTGGAGGAACCAAAACTTCTATCAAAGTTCTTCATTCAGGTTATTTTTGGTCCTCTATTTTTAAATATGCTCATGAATTTGTTAAGAATTGTGATAGATGTCAAAGAACTTGGAATATCTCCATGAGACAAGAAATTCCTCTCACTATCATCCTTGAAATTGAAATTTTTGATTTGTGGGGCATTGGCTTCATGGGGACATTCCCTCAATCTTTTGGAAATTTGTAATATCCGTGGTTGTAGACGATGTTTCTAAGTCGATAGAGGCAATAACAACTCCAACTATTGATGCTGGGGTAGTGATCAAATTTTTAGATACATTTTTTTTTCTAGACATGGCACCTCTAGAGAAATCATTAGTGATGAGAGAACTCATTTTTGCAATAAATTATTTAAAAATTTGATGGAAAAATATGGAGTTAAACACAAACTTGCTACATCCTACCATCCACAATGTAGTGGACAAGCTGTAATTTTCAATAGAGTGATAAAGAGGATTTTGGAAAAGGTTGTGAACCCATCAAGGAAGGATTGGTCTAAGAATTTAGATGATGCTCTATGGGCATAAAGAATAGATTACAAAACTCATATAGGCATGTCTCTTATAGACTTGTCTACAGCAAGGCATACCATTTGCCAATTGAGTTAGAACACAAAGCATTTTGGGCTGCCAAGACTTTGAATTTTAATTCATCTGATGTTGGCCAAGATAGAATGCTTCACCTCAATGAGCTAGATGAGCATAGGTTATTCTCATATGAAAATGATGAGTTGTATAAGGAGAAGACAAAGAGGTGGCATAACAGTATATGCCAGAAAAGTGAATTGGTAGAAGGCCAAAAAGTTTTTTTGTTCAATTTTAGGCTTAAGCTTTTCCCTGGAAAACTCAAGTCTAGGAAGTCTGGCCCCTTTAAATTATTAAAGATTTATCCTCATGGAGTAGTGGACCGTTGAATGAAAGAACATGTGAAGAATTCAAAGTTAATGGACAAAGAGTTAAGACTTATCTTGGTGAATCCTTGCACAACACAATGGTCACTTTGGATTTACATGAATATTCTTGATTGTGTTGTAGTCAGGCTATAAGACTAAAAAATAGTGCTATTGAGAGTCATTGTTGAGTGTTGTCACATTTGTGAGTTGGGAGCTAAACATGAGAATGGAAAAAATTGTTGTCTCTTAAAATTCAACAAAAACAAGGAAAAATGGCAGTTGTTCTTAAAAAGGAAACATGTGAATAAGACAAAAACTGAATGTAGGAGAGAGAGAAATGCCACGTGCGCAGACAAGTTATTGAGCCTTGTGCATGACGTCAGCATTGGACATGCCCATTAAATATATTATCTACATGCCTCTTAATTATGGGTGTTGCCACAAGTAACCACCCACTAACCCTAATTGATTGTCCTTCCCTCTCTCTCTCTTATCAGTTTCAACATCTTGAAGAGAAATACTGAAGATAACTAATGTGAGGGTAGTAGAGAAAAGAGAGCTTATTTTTCTCAACATTTACAGTATCAGCTGATGAGTCCTGGCATGACTGAAGTCATATCTTGTTGATAATCCATCTCAAGAAATCTTCAAGTTACTTTTAGGTTTACATCTCTTTTCATTATTTTTTTAAGAATGTATGATTTGAGAACCATGTATGTAGTTTTTACTCAGATCATCATGAGCTAAAACTTTTGCTTGTTGAGCAATAAGAAGTTAATATTATGATGTTTTTAAGTTAATTAATGTGTTGTTAAGTGCCTTGTTTTATTATTTGATAACTTTCGTAAAATTTCATTCTTTGAACGATCAACTTAGAAAAAAGGTAATAGCTTGTTGTTGTTGTGAGAGATCCAACAACAAGTGGATTTCATAATAGAAGTAGTTGAAAAGAGTATGATAAAGATATTCACTTGATTAGTTCACTTAGAGATAAGGAACTAGAACTATAAAGGACTTGTAGAATATAAACAGACGTATTTTAGGGTTATAAGTGTGACTTAGAGATTTGTTCCCTTGTCTTGAAATACATGCTTTGATGTTGTAGAAATACACTCATAGATCATTTTCTATCCTTTTCCAACATGACACAACACATCATGAACACATAGTTACTTCAATAATATTAATGGATCATAGCTCAACATACACTCTCTTGATATATTCTCCACTCTCACCTTGAACTATTTAGGTCTTGTTTAAAAAGAAAACTAAACTTGTGATACTCATATTATTTTTATCTCTGCTCATGCTTAAGTTAAAAAATAGTTTATGAAAAAGTCAATATAAGTAACATTCACTCTCTGTGGATACAATATACTTACTTTATACTTTAAAACATTCATGTATACTTGCATGCAATACATTTTTAAGCAACAATGCCCAATGGGTCGGGCCTGTTTTCCACCCTTAACCATAATGCAGTTTTGGTTTTTACAAGTATGTTTATGATAAAATTTATCATGCATTTAGAAATTTGATGCTTAAAAGGAGGGAAATTAGGCAACTCAAATTATTTTTTAAGAAAAAAATGGTTGGAGAATTTTTCCGAAAATAATATGACAAGTCATTTATAATTATATAAGGAAGAAAAAAGGAGGGAAATTAGGCAACTCAATCCAACCCACAAATTTGTGGTTTTACTCGACCGACCCAATGATATTGTAGGTGGTTATTTTACATCACTGAAACTACTGTATCTTATGGGTTGGATCTTGATTTTGTCTAAATTCAATCTTAACTCATCCATGTACACCTCTACCAACTAGGCTCTCCATGTTAAGTAAACAATTCTGACCGAGAGTTCAAACCCGGATCCCACTAGGCTCTCTATTTTAAATGAAAACACTCTCATATAAAAGTTTGAAATAAGAATTGAAATTAAAAGTTCAAAATAATAAAAAGACAAGGTCATTTAGGCTCGTAATTCACGACTAAACAAGCAAGACCAGAAGTAGACGTTAAATTAACAAATAATGACAATCATTACATAAAAGTTGAAGAGTCCAAACAAAAAGAAATTAAAACATACAAAGTTTCCTAGGCCTCATGGGCTGAATCAAAATTCTCCCCACCTTGGAGATCGTTTTCTACATCCACATTGGTCTTCTCGGGCATCCAATCCTTTTAGGGAAACTCGGTGTCATGGGAGCTTTAGAATTTTAGGCAGGCTCAGGATCTACTTCATCCACTAGACGTATATGCCTTAGGCTTTGTAAAAGGAAAAGAAAATATTGACTGTAGGCATGATGTCAAGACCCTAACAGATGACCTCAAACACACTAGCAAAGGCTTAACTATTAGGATGAAACTTTCAAGGGGGACATTCAGAGCCTTAAGAAGTTCATACTAGAAGATATGAAAGGAATACTTACGACAAAGTTGTCGATGACCTAAGTGTAGAAATAGAAATACTCATTAGGTACACCAAATGGTAACCGCACGCAAACTTTCTCCCCCGAAAAGCAAGGTTCCAATCATCGTCGAGGAAAAGCAAGTCATAACTCAAAACCTCTTTATTAAAAGAGACTAAAATGATCTATATGACTATTTCGATCAAACCTAGGGAATAAGACACCAATTTAGTGTCACTATCAAAGGAAGTGCTATCAAAGTTGCCATACACTTCCCTCTCCACAAACTCCTAGTCCACCCTTCCCGTAACGCGTTTAGACATTTCCACACTATGTTTCCAGAATGCTTTTCTCTCTGAAACACTGTTAGGGGTAATAACCCTCCCTTATTCGTCACACTCATGAATCAAAACTATTGAAAAAGTTTAATAAAGAGTAAAAATGCAGGGAAAGTAAAGGCAATACCTAAACTTAGAAAGAAGGAAGAAAAACTTGAAGAATGGAAAATTTTGTGTCTTGGAGATGACACACAAAAGCTCGTAAACGGAAGGTTGAGGGAGCTAATAGGAGAAGTTTCAAAAGAAAGTAATGAGGGATGTGGAGTGAATAATTTCTACTTAAAGACACAATGGGTATAACAATGGCCTAATAGTTAGAGGCTAAAAGACCTAACGAATATGTCTAATGATGGTAACCGAAAAATTGTGAGTCATAATAAAAGTTATCATTAATCATAGTCAATTCATGAACCGCAAAAGACTAAGAATTTATAGGTGGATAGAACATCTATAAAGAGAGATTTAAATTAAATCATGATGGGTAACTTTCTTCTTAATTATCTCGTTCCATTGGTCCTCATGCTTAGGGGGTGGGGTTGTGTACATCCCGAGAAATTACAATGGTCAAATTTGATATCTCGGTCCATATGCAATGGTCAGATTTCCCGTATGACTTTTTCCATATGCACCTCGTCCCATTGAGCCTCAAGGCATGTGTATATTTCAAAAAATTATAATGATCGAATTACCGGGGTAACTTTCGCCTCATCAGGTCTCACGCTTGAGGGTTGTGTATATCCTAAAAAAGTATGAAGATAAATTATCCAACCATGAACGAGAATGAAGTAGCCTAGGTAGAGAGACTTGCCGAGCCAAATGCTGCCCTAGGTAAGCTGGCAGCAGAAAAGCATTGAAGGATCATTATCACATGACATTAACACAACCAAGGATGTCCCCCAAGTACAATAATTGTGATTTATGGACTAGATCAATAACATAAATATTCATGGGGATTTCTTATTCCACCCCATGCTATTCTAGCGCACCATGCGAAATTCCTTAAATGTTCCTCAAAACCGGAAGTATATTTTCGGTATGCACCATGTTAGACATGAAATACGTATGAAGAGTTGGGTGCAAACCGTAAGTATATTTCTGGTTTGGAACCGTAAATATATTTTTGGTTTCTTGACGCACTAAAAGGCGAGCTGCCTCTTCCCCTCTGTTCTGGACTGGGTCGGGCTGGCCCAAAAGCAAGGAGGAAAGCCCAATCCAAACGGCCTTGCAGGGGGTCGCGCCAACCAAGAAGCCATAGCCGTGCCCGACACTCTCCGCTGGTACACCATCCTCGACCTCATGCAGTCCAGCTCGACCTCAGCTCGAGCGCCCCTCGTAGGGCAGACTCTGACCACTACACCATCACCTGGATCCCGAAAAGACCGCGTCCTCGTCCATCCGTACTTCTTGCAGAACATCCAGGAAGGAGACCACGTGCGGGTCCCCACTACACACGTAGAACCTGGCAGTTCCTTCATTGGGCCAAACCTGCCCGACCCAATGAAGGGACCTTGGCCCAGCGCTGGGGGCTATAAATACCCTCTGTTCCCAGAGGGTCAAGTATTCATTCTTTTACCCATACTCATACTTTTTCCTGCTCGTACTCTCACTTACTTCAGCATCGGAGTGCCTTGCAGGTACCCCCCCCCCCCCCTCCATCTCGTTCAAACTTCAGCTTGGAGCCAGTCGTGACGGTCCAAGTATGATCCGGTAAGATCAGTGGCGCCGTCTGCGGGAAACTAGCTTCCCCGTCTTGCAAAACTCAAAGATCAAAGCTCAACTCAACTACCACCGTCATGGCTGACCAAGCTCGCGATGAACAAAACGTTCGCGTCGTCGACACCAACAACGGCCCCGCGGACAAAAACGGACACCTTGACAACGCCGGCAACTCCGGTCACAACACCATCCCTGCGTCAACTGCCCCGGGACCTTCAACCTACCGCGACGGAGCTACTGCGTCGTCTTCCTCGGTCCCTCCGCCACTCGAAGAAGACGAGGCAGCTCTCGCAAACTACCGGGCTGCCCAGTTTCAGGAAGTCCCCGTCCCCGCCGGGGCGGACGCCACAACTTGAGCGCTGTTCGCAGCGATCAATCAAACAAATTACCTCATCTTCTCCCAAGGGGAAAGACTGAGGGCGCTTGAAGACGACCGAAGACCCCCGAGGAGGCATCGGAGGCCCCATACTCCACCTCCTCGAGTGACTGAAGTCCAACTCCCGTCTCCCCCGTGGAGACATTATAGAGAAACCTCTCGAAGCCAGTCACCCCGACCATCGGGGAAACGGCCCCCTTTGGAGAGGCAGCCCATCATCCAAGCCGGAGGACGTGGTCGCGACCCGGCAAGACAGGAAAGAAGGCACTCCAGAGACGGGCGGGTAAGAATCAACCAACGAGCACCATGCTCGAGAGAGGCCTAACACGACCAGGACCGTCGTGCCCGACAGTATTACAGGTCCCCATCTCTATCTCCAGAGAGGAGCGATGAGGACGACCCCCGCGGTCCCCTGTCGCAAGCTATCATGGAAGCGCCCATCCCCCCGGGCATGGAGAAACCCCCGCACTTGAAGGAGTACGATGGAGTCGCGGACCCGGTCGACCACATAGACGGGTTCGAGGCTATGCTGCATTACCACAATGTCGGGGGGCTCATCAAATGCCGACTATTTCCCACGACTCTCAGGAAGGCGGCAATGGACTGGTACAAAGGACTCGCCCCAGGCTCAATCACCTCGTGGTGAAACCTGAAAAACCAGTTCATCAGTTCATTCACGGCTTCTCGGCGGCATCCGAAGACCGAGGCGGCTCTCGAGGCAATCATCCAAAGACAGGATGAAACCTTGAGGGAGTTCATCAATCGCTTCAACCGGGAAGCTATACAGGTCCCCTGTGCGGACCATATGAAGAGATATCTGCTGGAGAGGGGGCTCCTCCCCGGCACAGAATTCAGAAAAGTCGTGGGCATCGAGCCACCCAGGACATTCGACGCCCTCCTCGAAAAAGCTCAGGCATACATGGACTACGAGGAGAGGGAAGCGGCCAACAGAGCCCGAGACCCCAGGACTCGCGGGTCCAACAGCAACTCGCGCCAAGAAGCTCCTCCTCCTCGACGAACCGGGGAGAAAAGAAAAGAAGACAGACCCCGGGAAGTCCAAGAACAAAAGGGACCCTCGGGGCGTTTTACCGAGTACACTCCGCTTACAGCTTCCCGCGAGCGCATTCTGGCGGAGTGTGTCAGCATTGACTTCAAGGACGGAAGTGTCAAACGTCCCCGACCTGCTCCCGCCAAGCCCGGAGCAGACAAGAACAAATATTGTCAGTACCATAGGAGCCATGGTCATCTGACTGAGGATTGCGTCCACCTCAAGGACGCCATCGAAACCCTCATCAAGGGAGGGAGGCTCGCACAATATCGGCGAAGCGATGCTCCCCGTCGTGACGCCCAGGAGACAAGGGAGCCGGAGGAAGATGCCCGACCATCTGACGAGTCGGTCCCCATCCAGACCGCCTTCTCCGTAACCATGCCTGAGGACTTCGACATCCCCGAACACCTGTAGGAGCCGCTCACAACGCACAACAGGTGGGAATATTTCCCCTCCGCCATGGTCATCAACGGCGGCGGATTCAACGACTTGACCATTAATTCGGCTAAGAGGAAGCTGGATGAGCTGGTCGACGCGGCGCCCCCGCAAACAATGACGTTTGAAAGGGTGAAGGGCAAGTCAGAACCCATCACCTTCTACCTAGAAGAACTCCCCGGCGGAGCCCCAAACGCGGTCATCCCCTTACTAATAAGGGAAAGAATGGCCAACTTTGATGTGCATCGCATCCTCGTCAACGAAGGAAGTTCCGTCGATGTAATGTACAACCAACTGTTCAGAACTCTACAGTTGGACGACTCACATCTCTCGCCATATGTAGGGTCGGACTTACAAGGTTTCAACGGCTTGACCTTCAAGCCTTGGGGGTATGTCGAGCTCCTGGTTACATTCGGCGAAGGAACGACGACAAGACAGGTCAAAGTACGCTTCCTCGTCATCGACTGCCCGTCTCTGTACAACTGCATCCTGGGGAGACCAACACTGGCAGAGCTGACAGCGGTGCCCTCAACCGTCACCTGAAGATTAAATTCTACACCAAAAGGGCACGGGTAGCTATTATCCAAGGAGACCTGGCCACCGCTCAGAGGTGTTTCAACACTGCATCTAAGGGACGCGACATGGTCGACGTGGGGACAAGGCCCGCCAAAAGGACACGACAGGAGCCCGACAAGCAGGAGTCCGTCAAAGAAGAAGTCCAGAAAGCTCCACCTAAGGTCGACCCTATAGCTCTAAACACTCGTTTCGACCAAGACGAACCTCCAAACGGCGAGCAAGTTCCACTCCGACCAATACCGGACGGGGATTTTGAGCTCGTCCCCCTCGGCACCGACCCGACCAAAGGAGTGAAGATTGGCAAGGATCTCCCCGACCTGGAAAGGAAGCAAATCAAGGTCTGCTTACGCGAGAATGCCGACCTGTTCGCCTAGAGCGCCGCGGAGATGCCCGGACTCGACCCTGAGGTCGCCTGTCACCACCTCGCCATAGATCATGCTGCTAGGGCCGTAGTACAACGTAGGCGTAGGCAGTCTCTAGAAAAAACGGAGACTGCTGAAAAAGCTGTAAAAGACCTCCTAGAGGCAAATTTTATTTCTGAAGCCCGGTATTCCACCTGGCTGTCAAACATTGTACTTGTTAAAAAGAATAATGGAAAATGGAGGATGTGTGTTGACTATATCGATCTCAACCGGGCCTGCCCGAAAGATGCTTTCCCTTTGCCGAACATAGACATGCTGGTCGACAACTCGGCCGGCTACAAAACACTGTCATTCATGGATGCCTACTCGGGCTATAACCAAATCCCGATGGCCGTGGGCGACAAACACTGCACGACTTTCATGACCAGCTCGGGCAACTATTACTACAACGTAATGCCCTTTGGACTGAAAAACGCCGGGGCAACTTACCAGCGCATGATGAACAAGGTTTTCCACAAACAGATTGGGGACATGCTCGAGGTGTATATGGACGACATGATCATTAAATCCCGAGCAGACACCGACCATGCAGCACACCTAAGGTCAGTCTTTGCCCAAGCAAGACAATGTAAAATGAGATTCAACCCCGAGAAATGTACGTTCGGAGTCAAGGCAGGAAAGTTCCTCGGATTCTACCTAACAGAACGAGGAATTGAAGCCAACCCCGACAAATGTCGGGCGTTTTCCTACCTCCCGACACTGACATCGAAGAAGTCAATACAAATCATGAACGGCATGCTCACATCATTGTCCCGCTTCGTCGCGAGGTCCGCTCAGCACGCCCTCCCCTTCTTCAAACTCCTTCGTAAGGAAGCAACCTTCGAATGGAACGAGGAGTGTGAACGGGCGCTGCGCCACCTAAAGCAAAGTCTATCTCAACCACCCGTACTATCTCGACCAGCCGACGGGGAGCCACTGTTCTTATACTTGGCCGTCTCGAATGAAGCCATCAGCGCGACTCTTATCCGCGAGACCACCGACGGACAAAAACATGTCTACTTCACGAGCAAAGCCCTACAAGGACCCGAAAGCAGGTACCAACAGATAGAAAAGGTAGCTCTAGCCCTCATCAACGCGGTGAGGAGACTCAGACACTATTTTCTGGCCCACACAATCATCGTGCGAACTGACCAGCC